CAGCCTGGCTCAGCCCTGGCTGTTACAGTCATCTGGGGATCGAACCAGTGGATTTAAGGTCTTTCTTTGGCTCTCCCTCTCTCTCTCTGTAACTCTGACTTTCAAATAAATAAATAAATTTTTTTTAAAAGAAAGGCACTTCCATCATTAGCATTTGAAATTCTATACGCACTGGTTCAACACTGGGTAAAGTCAGTAGTGGCACCTAGTTCAGAACTCCAGGACTTACCTTTCTCAGAGTTTGGAGGAACTATTTTCTGAATCATTGAGGGATGTGCAGACAGCAAAACGGAGTGAGATAACAGCAACTTAAGCCAAGTCTTCTTGATTGGAGAAAATCAGGAGCCTCTGAGGTTCAAAGAGAAATGAACTGCTCTCCCAAGGCTGTCTCCTCAGAGCAGTCAGGCTTGGTGTAACCAGAATGCTTGAAAGGCCTTCTTTAAAGTATGGGATTGGGGTGGGGGGTTGGAAATGAAAGGTAGATCATCTGTTCTCCACAGGTAAGGGATCCAAGAGAAAGGGGCTCGGCAAATTGACAAGGAAATGTGGGGGAAATCTGTCCCTGAAAGGTATCCTATTTTCCCAGCTCTCAGAACAGATGTGTGGCTTGACAAAGGATGTTTTCTGATTTAGGAGTGTATTATGTAAATTCTTTTTAGAAACGTATCAAAACGAAATCAAATTTAGTTCTATGTTTAACAAATCACCTTTATTTGGAAAAGGGGAAAAAATTACATAAGATCAGGACTGCCCTGGAAAGTTCATGTTAGAAAGTTGCCAGTTTTTCTCCATGTTTGGGTTTGTTTTTCTTATAAATATGCCTTAAGTTCCGTTGCTGGTAGGTTTTGGCTCCTTCTGAGATTTAGACAGGTGGAGAGAATGTGGAAGGGCATTCAGAGGGTATTTTTGTAGGCAGGAAAGAAGGGTGGACTCTGTCAGCAAGAATGAAGTGTGAATGAGCATTGCAGAGCCAGGGCTGAGTCGGGGTGCCGGAGTGGGGGTGGGGCGAGGGGGGGTGTATGAGAAGCGGCAGAGGTGTTCCCAGCAGAGGACCAGGTCTGCAAACAAGAAACATTCAGCTAAATGGCCCAAATCAGGGCTATCCCTCTCTGCCACTTCCTGCCTCCATCCCATCTGCCCACCGCATCCTACCACTTCTATATAGACAGCTCCTTATCTCCACCATCTTTCTACCATCCCTGCTCTGGCCTTAATGAAGGGTGTCTTCATATCCCCATCTGGACATTTGCAATGGCTGTGAAGACCCATTCCTGCAAGACTTTACCTATGCAAGATTTTCCTCTCAGGCTTGAAAAGGCTGTTTTTCCTCTCTGAAAAGTAAATATAGGGCGATCTTCCTAAAATTAGCATTCTGTTGAGTCTGTTCAAGGAGAGAAGTGAACTGTAATACAAGTGGCCCACGAGATCATATATGCTACCTCAGTTCTCACTGAGTCCTGGGGGAAAGGAAGTGGAAGTCATAGGAGTAGGGCCTTCTCAAACTCAACTGAGGGCTGCAGAATCTTCTTGGAGGGCTTTTTCAACATAGGAATCACTGGGCCCCACCTCCAGAGTTTCTGATCTGTGTATGTGTGGTGAGGTCCAAGGATGTGTATTTCTGACAAATTTTTAGGTGGTGCTGATGCATTGCTCTGCAGTGCAAGGGGAGATGAGGGAGAAAGGAGAAGCTTGGTACTTTTACAAATGATTTCCTTCCAATAGCAAATATTTACTCATTTAATATTTTGAAAAAATCAACCCATACTTGCTTCTCCATTTCTCCATTCTTTCAGTGGCCACTAATCTATACTTCACAGATTATCACAATTAAGAAAGAGAATAATAGAAATAAAGATGGGTAGCTAGATTTGACTTAAGCCCCTCCTAGGATTAGTCACTTTTAAAAAAAGATTTATTTATTTATTTAAAAGTCAGAGTTACACAGAGAGAGGAGAGGCAGAGAGAGAGAGAGGTTTTCCGTCTGCTGGTTCAATCCCCCAGATGGCTGTAATGGCCAGAGCTGCGCTGATCCGAAGCCAGGAGCCAGGAGCTTCTTCCGGGTCTCCCATGTGGGTGCAGGGGCCCAAGGACTTGGGCCATCGTCTACTGCTATCCCAGGACATAGCAGAGAGCTGGATTGGAAGAGGAGCAGCTGGGACACGAACTGGCGCCCATATGGGATGCCGGCACTTCAGACCAGGGTGTTAACCCACTGCGCCACAGCACTGGCCCCCTAGGATTAGTCATTTTTAATTTTGCCTTCTTAGGGCTTTCAAAACAAATGCATACTTATACTCTACTATTACTAACATTTAATAAAAGAAAGGACATTTTTAGAACAAAAGGTAAAAAGGATGTGATCTGAAAACTAAAGATAGGCCATTAAATGAAATGTATTTACTTCTTTTTTAAAAAATTACTACTATGAGCCGGCGCCGTGGCTCAATAGGCTAATCCTCCACCTTGCGGCGCCGGCACACCGGGTTCTAGTCCCGGTTGGGGCGCCGGATTCTGTCCCGGTTGCCCCTCTTCCAGGCCAGCTCTCTGCTATGGCCAGGGAGTGCAGTGGAGGATGGCCCAGGTGCTTGGGCCCTGCACCCCATGGGAGACCAGGAAAAGCACCTGGCTCCTGGCTCCTGCCAGGATCAGCGCGGTGCGCCGGCTGCAGCGGCGGCCATTGGAGGGTGAACCAACGGCAAAAAGGAAGACCTTTCTCTCTCTGTCTCTCTCTCTCACTGTCCACTCTGCCTGTCAAAAAAAAAAAAAAAATTACTACTATGAAGAGAACATATTTCATGTATTTCATAGGTACAGTTCTAAAAACATAACTATGAGAAAAACACACTACATTGTCTTTAGTTTTCTTTTTCCACTACGGTTTGGTGAAAATTTATTATAGACCAACACTCGTTGCTATTCCAGCATTTGGGAATCACTGTGTAAACCACCTAAACAATAATTCTCAGACTATTACAACTTGTATTACCTCCAAGAACCCTGTTTACTAGGCATGTATCTTTGCCAATTTGGGTAACTTTCATTTCTTACAGTGTGTCACTTTTTCTACCATTTTCCATGTTATTCACTGTGTTTAGAAGGTTTCTGCCCACCCAAAAAGCTTTTTATCTGTTCACAAATGTTGCTGGTTCCATAAAGCTTTCTTGACCATCATTCTGGAACATTAATTATTCCATCATTGATGTTCTCATAGCACTTGCTCCTTTTCATTGGACTCATTTATTTATGGTCTGTCTTCACTAGTTTCTAACTCCCGAAGCCCTAGATCCAAGGCCTAACAGTTTTTAAGGCACCTAGAATATACTTAGTGCTCTAACAATGTTCTAATGAAAACAATGGAGTTTGAATGCAATAGATAACCAGCACACCTTGATAAGATGGTGAAGATTATTTGTTTTATTATTATAAAATATTCATACCGATGCAGTGTGTGGCACAGCAGCTAAATTACTGCTTGGGATGCCCACAGTATTAGAGTGCCTGGTTTCAGTCCTGGCTCCTCTGCTTCCCATCCAGCTTCCTGCTAATGCACCTCCTGGGAGGGTGTGGTGATGGCTCAAGTACTTAGATCCCTGCCAGCCACATGAGAGACCTGGATTCAGTTCCAGGCTCCTGGCTTGGGCCTGGCCCAGCCCTGGCTGTTGCGGCCATTTGGGGAGTGAATCAGCAGATGGATGATCTCGCTTCTCTTTCTCTCTCTCTCTTTCTCTCTCTCTCAGCCTTTCAAATAAAATGAAGATAACACTTTTAATTTTAAAAACATAATACATTAAATTTACCCTCTTTACCACTTTTAAGCATACAGTTCAATAGCATCAAGGGTATACACATTGTTGAACAACAGATCTCTAGAAGTGTTTTATCACGCAACACTGAAACTCTGTACCCACTAAACACCAAGTCCTCTTCTTCACTCCCCTAAGCCTTGGGTAACTACCTTCCTACAGTCTATGATTTTGACTACTTTAGGTACTCTGTATAAGTGTAATCATACTGTAGCTGCCCTTTTGTGACCAAAATGATCTTTTCAAAGATTGTACTTGCAGTGGATACCAGGATAGTCAAGGGAACAAAAGTGACATGAGAATTCAGGGACAAGACAGACCTCATGGTAGTGAGTATAAAGTCTACCAGCCAGAAGCCTAGCTAGTCTGATGGTTGTATCCAACTTTTCTTTGGATGAAACACCAAGAAATCCCATCTCCATCTATTTTCTTTGTCTCTACCAAATGGATGGTCATGGGACTAGTTGATAAAATAATGTATGGGGGAAGTTATCCTAATCACCTCAGTCCTTGGGCAAGCCAAAGGGATATTGGCATCTTTGCTTCTCTAAACACAGGTCTGGTGGGAGCTACAGGATTGGTTCTCACAGAATTGTCAGTTTTGTCAAACTGTTCTCCAATATCTCAGCCTCCTCTTTCTGGGCCCTTTCTTCCCTCCCTCTCCATTAATCTCTCCAAGCCCAGTTCCTTGTGTTCTCAATCCCATTAAAACCGATCTGAGAAAAGGATTTAATTAGTTACTTATCTAAAAGAGTGAATAAGATAGCTGTGTGTTCTCTCTCCCATAGAGTAGCTGAACCATCAGCCTACTGAGGAAAAAACTACACTGTTTAAGGAATTGCAGGCAACAGTTGAAGGTACATTTGAGGGATGTAGAGTATGTGTTGGGCCTCTGAAATCACAATAAGTGACTGACAATGCTGATGACAAAGAATGCTCTTGGCTAATGTATTTTATATACAGGAAGAAGTCATCTGAATCCTGCTCAACTTTGGAAGATCTGAGTTTGTATATGTTGTATGCATGCTGGGCTGTTATTTATGGTGTTTTCATCATACATTGACCCTCAGCTTCCTCATCTGTAAAATTACAGTGTTGGACAAAATAATGTCTAATTTTCCTACCAGCTAGGACAATTTGTGGTTACATGATCATCTGTCCAATAGTTAAAAGAAAAGAGAGGATGCCAGCCAGAAATATTGAAATCAAACTTTATTTTTGGAAAATGACATTACACACATCTTGCAAATGTACACAGAAATGAGAATGCGATGGAGAACAGAGTTTGAGAGCCAAAATGATTGTAAGAGCAGCTCTTTGCTGCCTAGTATTGAATGCTATGAATGTAGCATTCAACAGTTCACAACACCTTACACACATGGGAAACTTCTCTAGACGACCTCGAAGTCCTCTGACCAAAGAAAGCCCTCATCAAATTGTGAAGGAGATGTGGGGAGAGGGATGCTAACAGGCACGGGAATTGTAAAGGGTCTGCTCCAGCTGGTTTATGTGGGCCTCACTAAACATACCAGTTCAAAGGAGAACAGCAAACCAAAAAGGAGAATGCCTTCTGGAAGTACTGCTTTTCAATAGCAGTCTAAGTGTGGACTAGGCATTGCCTGGGAAACAGACAGTAATGTATACGAATCTGTATCTTGTCTTTTCCAGCTATAAACTATTCTAAAGGAGTGGATGACATCCCAAAATATCTATTGTATTTCTCTTCTGCTTGTCTGTTTCCAAACAATCATTGATCATTGATCAAGCAGAGCCTTCTGAGATCTCCAAGTACCCCAAACTGCTACAGAAATAAGGAATATCATTTTCCATTGTCTTTGGGTTATATGTGATTCTGAGAACTAGTCAATTTTGTAATATAATCAAATAGTAACAGACACTCCCAGTTTACCACTGATTTTTATGCAAAGGAGAGTCTTTGATCACGATGTCATTCTTTAAAAAGTGGTCATTAAACGCTGAGAGATTGTTGGGAAATGCCTTTTCCCACTCCCTTTTTGGTTTGTTTGTTTTTTGCTGACTTTACTTGACAAGAATTATTGGCCCTCAAATCAGCTATTTACAACTATAAGACATCTGGGAGCAGGGAGGAAGAGAGGGCAAGGGAAGTGGGAAGAGGATCCACAAGGAAGAATATATTCTTTTCAGAGGTTAAAATGATTTATTTAAGAAACGAGATGTACAATACCATGCATTTACTCTCCAAAGCTAGTCACTAGCAAGCTAATGCCTCTAACACTACAACCACCAATTACAGCTGTTTTGCTACAGTTACTCAATTCTAACTACAGCTATAGGGCACAAAGGGTGGGCTGACTCCATTTTAAGCTTTATCCCTTTGAAAATGGCCATAAAAGCATTTTCTGTACAAGTTCAATGGCACAAAAAGGTGACCAAAATGTTTTAAAGAACTTACCACAAGTGAAAAATGCAAAATTCAATCAAAACATGCATTAGTTGTGTACAAGTCATAAGGGATCATTGGCTTCAAGCTGCAATATATTACAGGACCATACATTGGAGACATTTAGCATAACCTCTTACTTGGTCAAATCCCTTTAAGATAACTTCTAAAGAGAAGTCATTGGAAACGTTGACATTCCATATGTTATTGCCAAGCAGTGACATTCGGAAGAGCTGTGTATTTTGTTGAATAAATTAGCATATATAAGCTGCCTTCTTTAGGTCCGTTAATTACTGTTACACGGACTGCTTGTATAGGATCATGAACAATTGGTGTCAAAAGCAAATGTTTACGTGAATTTCTCAGAACACAGTGAAAACTACATTTCAATTAAGTGAATGTTCCTTTAAATAAAATGGATTTGTTAAATAACTCTTTTATTTAAATCATGCCCAATTGCCTACCAGTTTAGCTAAAACAATTCAACAGTTGGCAAGCCAAAAATATAAGGCTATTACAGATTGTTTAACATGTAAAGGTAAAACTTAAAAACAAATTGCTCCTCCTGACCCCACCCAGCCAAAGTAAATGACAAAAGAAATTACCTGTGGCCTCTCATTATATTATATTGCAGCTTTTAAAACTATAAGCAATTGAATAAAATCAATTATATTATTTAGCTGATATGAATCCATGGGTGGATTTTTCTGTTCAGCTGATTATTTTTCTGAGCACACTTCACGGCTCCACAACATGGCAGACTAAGAAGGAACCACACAGTATTCTGTACAGTGCTTGGAAGGCAAAGACATAAAAATACATGAACTATATAAAGGAAACTGCTTTAGAGGATTTGTTGAGGCTAGGGTTGAAGAAGAAAGAGACCAGGACCAGATTGATTCTCAACTATACGTTTCTCACTGGCCTGGGGTAGGACCAGGGATGTTTGAGTCTAGAAATAGTTTTTCATCAATTCCAAGGCAAAACAATTGGCTAAGACGACATATGCCCCCTGCCTAGTCAAGGAGGAAGGAAAATATTAAAAGAAAATAATAAAAAGAGGGAGGGAAAATTATGCAGAACAAAGGATGGATGTTTGTTCCATGGAAGAGAGGGTGATTAACACAGAGTATAAAGTAAGAACAAATTTAGGAATTAGGGAGAGAAAGAAAAGACAAAGAGAAACACAGAGGAATTAGAGTGGCAAAAAGCCATTTATCCCTTCAGGTTATTAACTCAGAAATGGGAAATTCCAGTCACTTCAAGTCTTCACCTTAGCCAACAGGGTGCTTTCTCTGACTTCTGTTATGCTGTCTGACCTCTCCAAACCAACCGACACTTCTGATCAGGAGCAGAAAAATTCCTCAGTTCCCAGTAGGAATTCCATACTCTGGATCCCCAGGCATCCAAGGTGAGAAAAAAAAATCACCTCTGATTCCTGAAGATGTAGAAACCAAAAATCTGAGGGATAAAATGTTAACCTCATCAAATGATAGCCGGTGTCACTCTAGCCACACCAAAATGGGAGGTCTGCTGGATCCTTAAGAAGGAAACAAGTGGGAAATACCACCAAGAGTCTGACTATTAAGACCACACTAGGCCTTTGGGGATGATGGTAAGCACTGGGGCCCTGGATATGGGAGACAGAGAGGGAAGCACCTTTTCCTGAGGGAATAGGAGGGGCAATATTCTTCAGCCAGGTATACTAAAAGACACACTGATGGAGAGCGAACCTTCCAGTCTCTGAGTTGAAAAAGTAGAAAGGGTCAAGAGAAGCTGCTAATCTAGTAGGTTGCCCACTGCAGTCAATGCCTGCAGGTTTAGAAATACATTTCTTTCCCTATGCACATGTCTTGTCTGCTGTGTAGTGAGAACTTCCAGCCTTTTACCTATTAGAGAAATGAGGTCCGCTAGCCAGAAGAAGAATAAACTTGGGAATTCATTTTTAAGAAATGATCTACATTGTCTTGGTTCATAACAGGGCCAATGGAGGGCAATCCACTGAGTATTAGTAACACTCGACTGAGTCTGGGCCACCATCAGCCAGAGAACCAGATGGAAATGCCTCTGCTACCAAATGTTTGGTGTGAAGAATCCATGCACTATCCCTGCTCCTGTTGGGCTTACCTGCAAGGAAGGAGAAAGGCTGCATGGTCTCAATAAAGCAGTGGATGGTTTACATATGGGATCCTCTTCATAGGGCAGAGTTAGAGTTGTGACAATTTCTAGAGGTCATACTAGGAGAGAGACCCAGGAAGCCTAGCCCCATTGTTACAGAAAAAAAGGTCCCAAATCATTTCTAACATACTATCAATGACTGGGGTGCAAGTGCTAAAACAAAGGACTCCAGCCTCTTCTCTACTACAGATGAACTCCAAACCAATGATAGTTTACTTAGAAAACTAGTCTGGGCCTAAAAGTCAAACCCTTTAAGGCAGTGAGAGCATTACATGAGGAAAGCTTGGCCATGGATCCAAGTAGCCGTATATGGGCAGGGGCAGGTACAAATTACTGATTTTTTAAAAGAAATACCTAATGCTTTTTTTTTTTTTACAAAAAATTGGAGCACTATGAAGGAGGTCATTCAAACCACACTGTTCCTTCACACTGTGCTTCTGTCTCAGGAAGCATCTTCTCACAGATATTTCTGAGGTGGGCTCATCTTTGGGATCCTTTCCATCAGTATGTTAGAGCTCATCTGGAGAAAAGGGCATGCTTGTTTTCCAACTCCAGGAAGATGTGTTTTATTTTTAAAATAATTATTGTTATTACTATTATTATTACAGAAAAAGTAATTTAGAGTCAGATTTGGGGAGGGGGGTTGTTGATCTCTATCCAAAGTATTGAAGGGACTGGGGAAACAGACTCAATTTTGTCTGAAGCAAGCACTGGACTGCTGGTCTAATGCTTGGGCTAGGTGATTCTAAAAAGGATTTAACAGCTCACTCATCTCCATGCCTTCTTCAGATAGATAGTTACTTTAAGGCTCCTTGGCTACTTCTCATTGGGGAGGAGAAGCAGGAAGCAGAGAAAAGTATCGGAGAAGTAGATCTCTTTAAACTGAACTAATGAATACCCCTTAGTTACGAGGAAGAGCCTTTCTATGAGGAAAACTACATGTTCAGACCTCATTGCCCTGTTTTCTGCCCTGGAAGGCCACAGGATCAGTGTACACAAGATGGGTATAGTGGGTAGAGCACACAACTCACTATTTTGGTACAAACAGAAGGAGCCAATGTTTAACATCAGCCAAGGTGCATTTTAGTCACAAAACCCCTTGCTTATATCTGGAAATTGTTCCCATAATGGCAGGATGGCTATGGGGATATTGTGGATGAGGGCAACCACAGCAAGACCAGATTGTTTGCTGTAGCTGATCTCATTCCCATATTTTAGAAGAAATCATTGCCACTGAATTGTAGCCATACTAGTCTTTAAAACGCTGAAAAGCCATCTTAGAATGTCAGAATGAACGAAGCTATCATTCCACTCTTCCTTTCTTCCTTTCCCTGCTCTGGAAATAAGAAACATTCTCCTTAGCCTGGGAACACCAAGTATGGGATGACATGAAATAAGCCGACAGGGAAAACTGGTCATCCTCCATTCCGTTGGGACAAAGCAGGAATTCAGGAGGCTATTTGGAGGGCTCCTCAAGTTGGGACAAAAAGAAAAAATGCCCAGGACCCCATTGTTCCTCAGTGTCTCCCTCTCTTCAGGGACATCTGCAGCCCATGTGGATGGGAACCATGTGAATGCAGAAAGAAAGGGCCGTATTAGGTTGCTGGGTGGATTTCCCGCTGAGATCAGGACAGCAGCATATGGTTCCAAGATGCAACATGACCCTGGGAAAGAATTCTCAGGAGCCTAGTAGAAGGCAATACTGCTTAGTGGAAAACAGCCCTGGAATTAGAGCTAGGAGATGTAGGTTCTAATCCCAGCCCTGCCCCTAGCCAGCTGTGTGACCTTGGGGAAATTACTTTACCTCTATGTCTCCATTTCCTGGCTTGAAAAATGAGGAATTTAGAGTAGATGATGTGATTCTAAGGTTCCTTCCAGCTAGAAAATTCTATGATTCAATCTAGGCTAATACTAAAGTCTGTGAGGACACAAAGCAGTCATGCTAATGGCTATCCTTTCCAAAACAGTGAAGAGAAAATGAGCTTTTCTCTCAATTTACCCCTAGTTAAAACTACTTATGATGTTAGTTGTTCAGCCCAGCCCCTATATATACATTTTCCCCTTCTTTGTCCCTATTTCTATACCCTTAGGGAAGAAAACTCAGGAGGCAGGAACAAGCAACAGATGGATCGTGTGTGTGTGTGAGTGTGTGTGTATGTGTGTGTGTGTGTGTGAGAGAGAGAGAGAGGAGAAAGTACGGGGAATGGTGGCAAATGTTTGCTGAGTGTGCAGAAACCAAAATAATAGGACTGGAGAGGTATGACTGCGTTGAGTGAAACTGGGAATGAATGATGGGTGAAGGAGCTCAGTTACATACAATTTTTTTCCCTTGAAAAAATGGGCCTATTTAAAATGCAAATCACTGGAAGCCTGAATTTTGAACTATTTCAATCCCCCTTGAAGTGGTAGTTTGGAAATATTGTAATTGATTAAAAGAAAGATGTAAAATGTACTATTATCAAAAAAAAGATTACTGGTTCAAAGATCCTTCTTAAAAAATACACCAATTTAGCATTTTCTAGTGGTACATAGAACACAAACAAGGAAATGCTCATGGAGCTAGCCTGGAACCTGAGCATAAGGAAACTGGATAGTTCTTGTCCTGCAGGCCATTTCACTGCTTGTTTTCTCATTTTAAAATGAAAGTATTAGACCTGATGAGGTCTCAAAAGCTATCATGGATTGAATCTTTGGGAGGTCAGACCTGAAGTTTAAAAACAGGTCTCCCACCACTCTATCCCATCTTCTTAATTCCATGTACCGGTTTTTCCTAATTAATTACAAACTATTTGGGGAGGCACTAAGAAAACCCTGAGCTTCTAGAAAGAATAAGGGCTGAGTAAAATGGGCTTCTAATGGTTTTGAAGGAGGGGATAAAAGATATCCTTATAATTTGGGGTTCTCCATTGACACACTTAACCAGAAACCAGTGCTATCATCATCTCACTTCCAAACCAAAAACATTTCTGGTAGTTAAGAACATGTGAAACTTGTCTAGGGGCCTCTGACCTACCCCTTCCACCCTTGGGCTACCCCCTACACAACACACATCAGCAATGTCACCAAGTTGGCACTGACCCATGTTTTGATGTCCTGTAGTACTTCCTAATTATGAAGCAGCTGCAGATGTACACACACACACACACACACACCAAGCTCATTCCATTTAGGGTGGAGGAAGGACTGCAAGTCATTCAGTAGCCAATGCAGTTTGGCTTTGAATGATTCACATTTAAAAATATCTGAATAGTTACAAAGAAACAGGGAAGTCTTCATATCTGCTAAAAGCAAACACAACACTGGCATGCATGGCTTTCCCTTAAATTTTGTTGTCTTTGCCATTATGGGCTATGATTATAGATAAAAAACAGTGCTATGAACCTGTACCTCAACGACTGAGAACTATTTCAAATGATCAGTTCTTAGTAAAGACAAATCCTTTCCAATGTTAAAGACAAGGGAAAGGTTTCCGTGCCTTCAGTATGAAATATTAGGATTGTAGATAAAAAAGAGTTGCTTAAAATATGCCATAACATTTCATTTAAAATATAATTAGAATGTCTGGTCCACACTGAAATTATTAATGTAAGCATAATTGTTAAAAAGCTATCAAAACACTGATTCTATTGAATTGGCCTCTGCTATTCATTTTGTTTTCTCCTGTAGATTTCTGTTTGGCAGTGACAGCATGATTCCTAAGCTACATTATTCTTCTGCTTTTTTTTTGGTAAATTTTCTGCATGTGTTTTTTAGACAAAAGAAAAATCACCAGTTTATAAAAAAGGAGCTTGAAGAGTTTGCTCCTGAAATACAGACATGAGTTTTTATAAAAAGGATATTGGTTTCTTGCTATAAAAAGCGACGGAAAGGTGTCAGACCTGAAAACAAATTCTCACAGTGTTTTCAGTGTTGGCTGTTTACAAGGCATTCAATAGAACAGAGATAGATGGATACCATACAGTTCATGTAATAACTCAGTATGCTAGCTTCCTAGAGGAATCAGATAAACGGAGTCTCTTATTCCAAACTCTAATCAAGTGCTTATTGATTCCAAATTACTCCAGTGGCGAGGATGACCAGGAATTCACTGTGCTTTATAAATGCTACTGAAATGTCTGTGCAGTATTTTCCAATTCTGCCTAGCCCTGTACCATGATCCTAAGCACTTGGTTTCATGGGTTGCTGGTGTTTCTCCCCATTGACAACCAGAATTGGTGCCAGACAACATACTGGGGGCGTTATCAGAAGTGACAACCAAGGCTGGGGAGTTACCTTGCTATCCTCCTGGTATCCTCCAGCTTTCTTGAGATCAGGAGACAAGGAGCACTTGTGTTTGTCACTGTTGTGTCCTCCAATTAGATTCCCCCCTCCCCCACAAACACTTTAAGTGCTACATATATAATAAGAGCACTCTACAGAAGGAAGACTGTAGAGTATGAGCAATGTGGCACAGGGGAAAATAACGAAGACACCTAAGCATTCAGTAGAAAGGTCATGGACTAGCACATTTTGCACCCCTGGAGAGTTACTCCAGAGGATGGTTATCAATCTATCTCTCATAATTGGTAACTGTGGATCAGTGGCCCAGAGGAGAAATCACAGGAAAATAAACCCAACATATTACAGTGTGTTTTGAAAATAATAACAACAACAAAAACTTGAAAGCACCAATAGCCCTGTTGGATTCTTGAACAAAAGTACCCTACTTTAATGGTAGGCTTGGATTTGTACTCTGGACTCTGAACATTCTCTGTTCCTTCACATGGAATCACCAAGTGAGTCTGAGTCATCCAAGGACAGAGGCAGGTACAGATCCTGTAAGAAGAGAAAAGATAAAGTTAATTTTCCTTTTCTGGCCATCTTGAGCTCAGAAATAGTTGTTTTAGTTGTTTTCATTAATAGCTTCTCTAATTTTTTATTTTGAAGCAATTATAGATTCACACGAAGTTGAAAAAAAAATACAAGGAGTTATACTTGTGCTAAGGTAGCCTTTGCTCAGTTTTGCCCAAAGGTAGCATTTTGCAGTTTGACATGCACTCATTTGTGTGTGTATGTGTGTGTACTCCTATGAAATTTTATCACATGTGCATATTTATGTGACCATCACTACAGTCAAGATGCAAAATTTTAGCTCATCAAAGGTCTCCCTTGTGCTACCCCTTTATAGCTACAACCACCCCTTCTCCCATCCCTAAGTCTGGTAGCCAATAACTTTGATACTTCAAGAATGTTAAAAAAAAAAAAAGAATGTTATATAAATGAAATCATACAGTATGTAACATTTTGGAATTGGCCTTGTTTGTTCAGCATAGTTCCTTGCAGATTCTTCAAACTTGCTTCACATATCAGTAGTTTTCTCCTTTATATTACTGAGCAGAATTCCATAGTATGGATATACCACAATATGTTTAACCATTTACCTGTTGAAGGACTTGTGGGATGATTCCAGTTTTGACTGTTGCAAATAAAACTGCTGTAAACATTCATGTACAGGCTTTTGTATGAATGTAAATTTTCATTTCTCTGGGTTAAATGCTGAGTGATAAAATTGTCGAGTTGTATAGTAATTGCATATTTAATTTTGTAGGGATTGTCCTACTGTTTTCCAGGGTGGCTATAAAATTTACATTCTCACTATCAAAGTACTGGTGGTTCAGTTATTCCACATCCTCCTGAGTATTTGGTGTTTTCACTACCGTTTATTTTATCCATTCTTGCTAATTTCTAGTGACATATATATCATTATAGTTTTAATTTGCATTCCCCTGTTGTTTAAAGACATTACAAATCTTTTCATGTGTTTAGTTTACATCTGTATTTCCTCCTCTTCAATGAAATGTTTTTTATGTTCATTTCCTAATTGAATTTTTCCTACTGTTCAGATTTTTAGAATTATTTTCATGTTCTCTAAGTAAATATTTTGTTAGTTATGTGGGTTGCAAATATTTTCTTTCTACCTATACCTTTTCTTTTCATAGTTCTGTATGGTCTTTATTTTTTAAGGTTTATTTTTTTTTCATCCACTTGAAAGTGGGAGAGAGAGATCTTCCATCTACTGGTTCACTCTCCAAATGCACACAAAAGTCAAGGTTGGGTCAGGCAGGCTGAAGCTAAGAGGCCAGAACTCCATCCAGGTCTCCCACAAGGGTGGCAGGAACCCAAGTACTTGGACCATCACCTACTGCTTCCCGGGTTCTGCATTAGCAAGGAGTTGGAATTAGGAGCAGAGCCAAGATCAAACCCATGAACTTCAATATGAATGTAGCATCCCAACTGATAGCTTAACTGTTAGAACAAATGTTTGCCCCCATAACACATTTTTAAGTTAATTTTTGTGTAAGACAAGAGATTTAGATAGAATTGCTTTCATTTTGTTCAAGAATCCAACTGGTGCCCATACGGGATGCTTGCACTGCAGGCGGCAGTCCTAGCCGCTATGCCACAGAACCAGCCCCTCCAAATTGACTTTTTTAGAACTTGCAAACAACCCAAGCTTTCAACAACCTAAGAAGTATTTATCCAAGAAAACTGGTTGAAGAATATAAGAACACTAAGTTTTCTGGTGCTTTAACTTCCCATATTTCCTTTCTCCATCTCTTCAGCTCTACAGTACCCTTGAAAACCAAGTCTCACAACTATAAAATCTGTGAAAAATAGCAACCTAATAGCCATTAGAGGACACATTTGGGAGTTTGAAGCTACTCAAAATGTTCAATTCCAAGAAAATTGTCAGTCTTTAGTTTGTGTGGTAGCTTCCTAGAAACTCCTACTTGCAGGTTCTTTATCTGATCTGTATCAGAGCACATTTACTGTAAATAAACAGCATTTTGGGGGGGCATTAATCAACTGTTGCAATTGCTTAAAAATCAAAGCTGCCTAAAGTGGGCTTAGCAATTGAGGGAAATGAAACTGCCTATAACCTTAAAAGGGAATGTTGTAGACCTAGGTGTCCTTGGGTTAAAACAAAAAACAAAAAACAAAAAACTCTGACATATTCCTGGGAATCTAGAAGGAACATGTTCAGGGCTGCGTATTTTCTCAGAAAAGACCTGAGAAAGCCCTAATCTCTCACCTCTGACTGAGCCTGTGGCCCTCTGCAGGCATCAAGTAAGGGTTAAGGTAGAACAGTAAATTGCCTGATAGAGCACTGAAACACATGCACAGAGCACTTCAGCAAAGAGAGATTTATCAGCTCAAGACATTTAAAGAAACTGAACAAAATGATCCTTTTCATTCAAAATTGCCATTATCAATAGTGAAGGAGAAATTAAGACATTCCCAAATAAATAAAGACATTAACTGCTATGAGATCTGTCCTATAAGAAACAAAGAAAATACCAGGGGATGGTGTTGTGATATAGTGGGTTAAGCCATTGCTTTCAATGCTGGCATCCCATATCTGAATCCCGGTTCAATTCCCAGCTGCTTACCTTCCAATCTAGCTTCCTGCTAATGAACCTGGGAAGGCAATGGAAGGTGGCTCAAGTGCTTGGTCCCCTGAATCCACATGAGAGACCCCAGTGGAATTCTAGACCCTTGGCTTTAGCTTGCCCCAAACCTGGCTGTCGTGGGCATTTGGGGAGTGAACCAACAGATGGGAAATTTCACTCTGTGTATTTCCCTCTCTGTTGCTCTGGCTTTCAAATAAATAAATCTTAAAAATTATAAGAACACCAGTAAACATATGGATATCATATGGGTGCCAGTTCCTGTCCAGGCTGCTCCCCTTCTGATACAGCTCTTGGTTTATGGCCCAGGAAAGTAGTGGAAGGTAGCCCAAAGGGCTTGGGCCCCCACACCCATGTGACAGACCCTGTAGAGGCTCCTGGCTCCTGGCTCCTAGCTTCGGATCAGCCCAGCTCCACTGATTGTGGTCATTTGGGGAGTGAACCAGCAGATGAAAGAAAGACCTTTGTCTGTTTCTCCCTCTCTCTGTGTGTAACTCTGGCTCTCAAATAAAAAAAATACAATCTTATTCTAAAAGAAGACTCCACATATAAATAAGATCATGCAATATTTGTTTTTCTGTGTCTGGCTTACTTCAAAAGACAACTGAATGAGATAGTAATTATAAAAATGTGTTAATGGACTTATGTATAAAAACATCATTTATATACAAAAAAAAGAGAAAGGAAGGAACAGAGCTATACTATAGTAAATTTTTATACAATTTAGATCAAAATGTTATTAATCTAAAATTGATTTTAATCCTCAGCACAACTACTAGAAAATAACCCCAAATAAAATTAGTTAAAAAAAGAGGGGGATTAAAATGGCACACTAGAAAATCTTTGCTTAACACATAAAAAGCAAACATCGAGTCATGAGGGAACAAAAACAGACATAAGACATAAAGAAAATAGAAAAATGTCAGATTAATTTCTACCTTCCCAGTAATTACATTAAGCATCATGGATAAAACACTCAAATTTAAATGACAGAGATTTGCAGAACGGAATTAGGAAAAATACAATCAAACCCTATGCTCTCTTAAAGACTTTCAAAGACTAGATATATTGAAAGTAAATGATGCAAAAATATTTACCACACAATCAGTAACTAAATGAGAACTAGAATGGCTATACTAATATCGGAAGAAAAATTGACTTTAAGAAAAAATACTATTGAAGGTGAAGAACATTTTATGACCACAAGGTCAATACATTGAGAAGACATAGTTATAAATACATGTGCACTTTAACAACAGAGTATCAAAATACAGGAAACAAAAACTGATGGAACTGAAGGGAAATATACAATTCAACTATAGCAGCTGAAGACCTTAATACCTCACCTTCAAAAATGGATAGAACAACTAGGCAGAAGACAATCAAGTAAACAGGGCATGTAAGCAACACTGTAGTTTTATAAATATATATAAACATATGCATATATATATATAAAACTGTACACAACAGAATACACATTCTTTTCAAGTGCCCATGGAACATTTCCAGTATAGATAATACACTAGGCCATAAAACAAGTTTCAATAAATTTAAAATGATTGACAACTATACAAAGTATATCCTTTGACTACTGTGGAATTAAATTAGAAAGCAATAATACAAAGATATTTGGGAAATTCATAATAATGTGTACATTACAGAACAACTGCTGACTAACCAGTGAGTCAAGGAAGACATACTAAGAGAAATTAGAAAATACTTTGCGATAAAGAAAAATCATATCATAATATACCAAAACCTCCAGGATACAGCTAAGGCAGTTCTCAGAAGGAAATATTCTGAATATTCTAACTCAAAGAAACACAGAGATTAGTGGTTGCAAGGTGTTGTATAGATGGGGAAGGGGCAGAAACTGCTAACAAGTGTGGGGTTTCTTCTGCGAATGATCAATATATTCTAAAATTGGGGGCATGGATTTGGCACAGTGGTTAAGATGCCACACTTGGACACCTACATCCCATATCAAAGAGCCTGTGTTTGAGTTTTGGCTCCATTCCTGATTCCAGCATTCCTGCTAATGCACACCCTTGAAGGCAGCAGGTGATGGTTCCAATAGTTGGGTCCCTGCCACCCATGAGAGAGAGCAGGGTTGAATTCCCAACTCCTGGCTTCAGCAACTCAGACCTAGCTGTTGCAGTCATTTGAGAAGATAGAAGATCTCTCTTTCTTCCTCTCCCTGTCTCTATCACTCTGCCATTTCAAATAAACATATTGTGACTATTGGTGAATTCCATAAGTCAAACTTTCATATAATGAATTTCCATTGTATTAAAAAAAAAGCACTAGAATAAGAGTCAGGAGACCTAGATTTTAGGTCTAGCTTTACCATTTTACTTCCCTCTTTCA